CTCTGGCAGTGTGCTTGCTGGAGAGGCTTGGACCCCTTGGGTGGAGGTAGCCACACTGAGCAGGGCAGCAGGCCTTGCCAGCAACAATCAGGGGTCACTGTCTGCTGGGAAAATTCCTGTTCTGTTTTACCCTCAGAAACACATGGCTATCGGGATACATGTGTGTCCGGTTGGGTAGTGCTGTGCGACTTCCCTTCCCCTGGGGAGCAAGGAGGGCTGGTGTTGGAGCTTGCAAGCTGTCCCCCAGTGTCTTGGCTAACAAGCTTCACCACCTAAGTTTTTCTGTGCCCTTTAGGTTGGTATTGCTTTGTTTGGGTGTTAAACAACAAGCCTTGTTCTCTGCAGATGCAGGGGCTTTCCCAGGGACAAGGAATCCCCAGCTCCTGGGACTGCGCCAGGATGTCCCTGCCACCTCCCAGAGGGATGCTCTGGGTGGGGCCACAGCTCACTGCTGGTGTGCAGCAGCTGTAGGAAATTAGAGGAGCCTCGGGGCTATTCTGGGAAACACCAAGGGAGATTCCCAAGGTTTCTGGAGCAGAAAACTGGCTCAGAGCTGCCTGCCCGCACACCAGGCAGGGCTCATGTGGAGCTGGGCACGGAGCCCCACAAAGGGAAGGATCCCGCAGACCAGAACAATGCAATCCTGCAAAAGCGATGCAGAGTTCTGGACTGCCGAGGCAAGTGATGGTGGGTCTGTCCCTGGTGCTCATGGACTGCAAGGTAGGCTCCAGATGGGATGGCTGGGATGTCCCTTGTGAGCACACTGCTGGGTATGCGGGGCCTGACAGCTGGTTTGGGACAGGGGACGTAGGATGTCAAACAGGATAGACTGTCCCCTATGTAGATAAAACTGTTGCATTGCCTCAGGGGGTTTCAAAGATGGTAAAGATAAAACCTTGTCCTGTTCACCATTACTCTGTGGAAACTTTAGGCCTTGGGACTTTCCTGTCTCTGTTTCTGACTCTTACCTGCAGGGGGATGCCTGGCTTTAAAAAGTACTGCTCACCTTGTGAACAGGGACATAGCACTCTTATTTCACCTGAGCAGATGGGGACTAATTGCTTGGGGGGATTAATTGCTTGTCCCCCACGGAGTAGAAATCTTCCTGAAAGTGGGTCGGAAAGCCACGTCATGTTAGTGTTTGCACTGGGTCTCCTACATAAGCACAAATGGGTGTGAAAAACGCTGCATCCGGTTGCCTCCTTGGTAGCTTCAGGTCTGATGAAGCTGTGTTTCACTTTTACCTTGTGATGGCAAGGTCCACCTTTTGTCTCCAGAACGGCTTTTCCTGTAAATCCTGGTCATGATGGGAGGCTCCAGCTTGGTGGGAGGTGTTGTGTTACTTAAGCAAGTGTTTAGAGAGTGGCGCATCCTCGGAGACAGCGGTGACTTTATCCCAGGGGGCAGACCCGGAGCTGTCCTCCCCCACCTGCAGCATGAGCTAAATACTGAGTTCTCTAACTGAGCATCCTTCCTCCCCTTTATCGATAATTTTAATCGTTTTAATAACGTCCCCTTGCACGGATAGGATTACGATTAGAAAATGTCAGAGCCTTGTTATCATCTAATTAGAGTCACATTTCAGGGGAATGGAAAGGAAAATCTTCAAGCGCTGCCTTGCGCAGTGAAATGGGAAGAAAGTGATGATTTAAACCAGCTGCTGGCCGAGCCCCGGCTGCGGTCCCGCCTGAGACACGGGGCACGGTGCAGGACAAGGCGATGGTCCCTGGTCAGAGCCCTCTGAAGCAATCAGTGCAAACTGCTCCCAGATCACTTTTGCAAAGCGAAAAACTCCAGCGTGGTCCAGTAAAAACAATCAGGCTGTCAAGTTTGCCAGCTAACAGCTGAGGAGGTCAGAGAAGCAACACAACACAAACCAAAATAAACACCACCTCGCTCTGCCAAAAAGCCTTTATCACTCTTCAGGGAGAAAGGGAGGCACTTTCAGATGGCTTTAACTTTTCCTTTTTTTTTTCCCCTTATTTGTTTTTGTATGCTTAAATGTGAGTGGAGAGCTAGGATCTCTTTCCGCCCTTCCCCTAATGCCATTATGGCAGGCGAGGTACATGTGGGGTATTGTTCGCTCTGGAGAACCTCTTTGTTTGCCTTTTTCGAGGAGGAGGAGGAGGAGGAGGTTGGAAAGGCAGTGGGAGAGCGGCTGTGCACAGCCCTTAACCCCTTGGAAGCTGCCTAGGGATTTTCTTTGGCTTAGCTTGTCCTCCAGCTTTTGCAGCACAGCACAGAGAGCATCCCATCTGAGGAGAAGGACACATGGCTATAGTCGGGGACAGGGCTGCCACCCTGCTGTGATGCTGGAGTATCCATGTTTGCGTGGGATCCATGGTGGCATGGTGCCTGGTGGAGGGGAGTCTTGGCTCCTTCAGGTTTAATGGCCACAAGCGCTGCAGTAACGCACGAGTGATACTGAAAAATGTTATTCTGTGTACAAAGAAGGTTTCACAAGCACCACGCTCACTTCACACCCCAGCCAGCTGCAGGGAGGATGATGCACATGCTGGCCCCCAGTCCCTCCATGCAGAGCCCCCTTTGGCAGCCACCGTGCTGGGATGCTGCCCACCCGCCTGCCCGAGGAGGTAATGTCTGGCAGCAAAGTAGGGCAGCCAGTGGGGAGCCATAAAACCTGAACCCTCTGCAGCTGTGAGCCTGAGCCCCAGCATGGGCACCAGGAGCTGGGGGCTGTGGTCCTGCTGTCATCCCTGTGGGATGGACAGAGTTGCCTGCACTTGCCCAGCTCACAGGGTAGGGGGAGAATAATGGAGCATTTCCCTCAGAAGTGCCGTATCATGCCTCTCCCCCTCTGTAGGGATGCACCCCTTGAGGCAGGAGCTTAAAAGCAGCAGTGTTTCAGGGCTTTGCTGTGGGGTAGCAGCTCCTTAGTTTCCCCATGGGTTTACCAACCTGAAAGTCTCTTAGGGTCTGGGCTTAACAACCCACCTAAGGGCCACAAAATGTCTCCCCTTGTGATTCTTGCCTTCAGGGGCTCATGGAATAAGCAGGAGGATGGCAGCCACCTGCTTTTGCAGTGCTTGCCTGAGGCTTGCCAGCATTACACCAGCATTTCGTGCCGGGAACCCCTGCCGTGCAGAGCAGGGACACACTCCAGCACTGACCAGCTCCACGTAATAAATAACAACAGTAAAACCAGTTATCGCTTAAATAGCACTTTACATCCTTGGGATGCTGTGAAACCCCAACTACTTAATCACAGCCGCTCTCATGATGCTTACAGTGAGCTGAAATTTTTGGCCTCAGAGGAAAATGTATTTTCTGGTGCCAAAAGCTGGAGACAGGGCTGTGTTTGCAGCTCTGCTGGGGAGCAGGATGAGGCCACATTGGCAGCAATTAAGGCTCAGATGTCCACCGGTACATCAGAGGGATTCTGAGGCAGCACCAGGCCCTGCCTTCCCCACACCACTGCTTCGTGGCTGCCTTCGAAACTCCTGACAAGGGGGCCTTGCAATGTTAAGCGGGTGGGTAGTTTAGCTGCGGCCAGGAGCCTGCCTCTGACAGTGATAGCGATCGAGAGTGGCACCGGGCAGCCCCCGCAGTGCTGGGAGCCAGCAGTGGCATTTCTGCCAGGCAGAGCTCCCCCCTTCCCAATTAGGGGCGCTGCTAATTTTAAACGAGCTGCCTCCGCCAAGCGGGAGCTCTTTAAAATACCATCCTGCCAAAGTGTCTTTGGTGGGAGCTGAGGGCCGAGCACAAAGTGCAGGCTTCGGTCCCTGACATTTCGGGGCAGGGAGAGCTGAACCTCTCTGCGAGCTGCGATGGGCAGATTTGGAAGAGGTGGATTTTCTTTCCATCAGTGTTATCCATACCTGGGGGAGGGAGAGGGAGGTTTCTTTAGTCAAAATGAAAACCATCTCTGATTTCATTTTAAAGCATGTTAAAAGGTTTCATTTGACCTGATGCAAAGCGTTGCATCTCATTTTGTGTTTTAATTAATTTTCTGATCCTTTAATTAGGCTAATTTCAAGGAAAAAAATGTTTCTCTCAAAACTGGAAGTCAAAACATTTTGAAGATCATTTCTGCCTCTGAAATGCTGCTTAAAAGCATTAGACTCTCTAGAAACCCAGGTTAATTCCTGTCTTTACAGGGTTACTGAATGCCTTGGGAGTTAAACCTGAGAGTGCTTTAAAAAGGGCCCTTGTTTCTCAGAAAGGGAGTGTTGCTGCCTGTTATCCTGGGATGAAAGGAGAGAGGGTCTCGTCTCAGACTTTTCCTCCTTAAAAAACCAGGGTGCTGGTAGGTGTAGAGTTTGCCTGTCACTGTACAAGGACCATGACTATTTGGATGGGGAAACTCCAGCAATGGCACAATCTCAGTGCCAAGTCAGTCACTACTCAGTACGAGGGCACAGCACAGAACGCGGGATAGAACCTCTTAGGATGTTTTCTGCTGAAGAGGCTTTTGTCCCCTGTATTTCTTAGGGGCTGCAGTGGGCCCTGAGTTTGCAGATGAGTCTACACAGGGAGCCTTCAGCTCGGTAGCTGGAGGGCTGAGCCTCTGGCAACTCCAGCTTCAAGCCCCATTAGCACTGCAGTTATCCAAGGTCACCTGACAGTTCCTCATATCTTAGTTTTGCTTTAATTTATTGCCTTTGTCAGTCAATTAACAAAACAGAATAACAGACTTTAAAATACATACACATTTACATAGTATTATGGCCAGTAAACCCCATTGTGAGGTCCCATGGGTGTCTCGGAGCCATCTGGGCACACCTGAGCTTCATGTATTCCTAAATGTAGAGGCAAAAAATGTATTCTTTAGAGAGAAGTGTTAAAAATCTCACTGGGCTGCTATAGCCGCAGCACAGGCTCAGGGAACAGATGCTCAGCTGCTGCGCTCATGCTGTCCCTTGGCACACAAGAATCACCAGTACCTCTGCGAAGGAGACCTTCGGACCACACGGAGCCTTAAATGAGGAACTGCTCATTTGCTGACCACTCGAAGAGCTCGTGCACAGTAGGAGAAGTTTTGCCTGCCCTGTAAAGGTAAGTCTGTGTTTGTCATCCTGGAATGCTGCTCCCTGCTCAGTGCTCTGCCAAGGCAGCTCCAGCCCCCTCGAGGCACTCCTGAAGCTTATGGTGGGTCTCTTCTTCTCAGGCTTCAGGGACCAGTGACATCCACCTGCCTGATGCCCAAATAGAGAGAAGGGGCTAACTTTATGACACGGGCAGCATGGCAGGGCCATGTGAACAAACACTGTCCCTCTGCATGCACAAAGCAGTGTTTTACTGAACATGCACCCCTGGATTGACTCAGCTGATGGGAGTGCGTTTCCCTGCCCCACTGACCTGCTCTGAGCCAGCTCCCTGAGGCTTTCCTCCACGTTGGTATTCCTGAGAGTCTTTCCTGTGCTCAGATGATTAGAAGTCAGCACTCACAGAACAAAACACTTTCCTTGAGGTGGCATTTGCATTTGAAAGCCAGGACGGTTGTGCTAGGGCCTTTGCTGTTTCACGAACTTCTGTAGTCTCCTGGCTCTGTGCTCTGATCCCAGCAACCTGCATTGGCTTGAAGCCATCCTTAATTGTCCTGTCTTGGGGTGGTTCGGGGAGCTTTCTAGCTCTGGCACAAATTACAGTGCTCAGAGGATGGATGTAATTTCTGTCCTGCTGCCCCCAGTTCCTGGGAACTCTCCTGGCAATCAGCAAATGATATGACTCACACTCAGAGAAGCCAGATCCACTCCAGCCTAGCATGATATTTTGATTAGTAAGAGGCTGGCATGAGAAATGAGAGGTTCCTGCATGCATGCCAGGCTGCCCATGTTATTCCCCCACTGCACCAGGCTCTTCCTCACTGCTATTAGCTTTGGGGGGAGTAGGTAATCGTACTGTGCTGGGGTGCACACTTGCAACTCTTTCTGCAGGACTGGGCTTGGTCCCCATGGGCAGGTTTGGTCATGCAAGCAGGGCTTCAGTGGCACAGCATTCTAACCTAGCCTGGCCCCTTGCTTCACTGCACATGAATTTTACAGCTGGAAGCGGGGCTTTGTTTACCTAGAAACTTGGGCAGCTTTGCAGGAGTGTGACTTAGGTCCCCAGATGTGTGGGTGAGATGGGAAATTGCATATGCTCACACCTATATATGGGTGTGCGTGCTGGGATGTGCTTAGAAATGCATGCTTTTATCGGCTGCGCCTACTTCTGGAGATGCCTGGTTAATTTATCAACTGAGAAGCTCCATCTCGCTAAAAGTCTCATTTCCATATTCTTTCCAGATGGTCAAGATGCCACAGAGACAGTTTCTAAGTAAATAACTTGCTTCTTCACACAACCTACCATCAGCATCCCAACCAGATGCCCCAGATGGCTGGAGCGTCCAAGATGGTACCTGGGTCGTGAAGGAAAGTGCCAAGTTGCATGAATAATAGAAATGGTGCGGCTGCATCATGGTAGAGCAAATACTTTCCTTCTGCAGCTCCGGATCCAGGCTGAAGAACTGCTGGAAACCACAATGCAGCTTCCCCATATGCGGGTCCATCAGAGCGGGCTGGTGTTCGGTGGCACTAAGGCTGGGGCGGAGGGGTCTGTGCTGGGGGGCTGCTGCCTCTGCAGTGATGCAAAGCTCCTGCTCCTGTACAGCACCGTTTTCGTTTCACTGCCACCTGATTGCAAGTTAAAACCAAAAGGTTAAAAACATTTAATTATGCTGCTGCTTTCCCAGCAGATTAAACAAGAGGATAAATAGACTACAGCATGTTATTTTGGATTTGATTTTGTTTTTTAAACAAGGGGAGGGAGGCGGGAGGCTGCGTCTCCTTGGCAGCTGTCACACACTTTGCTTTTGATGGTGTCAGTTGTGTCTGTTAAGAGGTGTTTCTCTTGCCACTGTCAGCATTTTCCGAGGGAGGCTGAATTCATTGATACAGTCTGTTTGCTGTCCACATATTCACAGTTCATGTGTTACATTTTACATAAAGTAAACTTAGCAAGGGGAAAACTAATTCTGCAATTCTTCAAAGCTAATGCACAGTAAATATATTCTGACACTGACAGGTATTTCTTATTAAATAGCTCTGAACTGCAGTACTAGGTTTTGCTTAAGTGGCATTATTCTCCCCGAGCAAAGACAGTTCATTTATTAGTCATTCTGAAAACCAAATAACAAATATTATTCTCTAAGCAAACTAAACAAACCATTTAAAAGGGGCCTGTCTGAAATGATTAAAGTACAGTGTCTGAAAAGCAGCTGACATTTTAGTGCCAAAATACCATATGGAGACTCAAGTGCTTTATTAACATCCTTTGACCTAAGCTGCAAAATCTCCCGACACCTTTGAGCACGGTGGAGCAGCCTTCTTGTGTGCGAGGGAGAGTGCGGAGGCAGATCTTTCTGCCAGTTCTTAAGATGTCATTTTGGCACACGGAAGAGCGAGGTGCAATAATTGAGGGGCTGGATGCGAGCAGATTTCTTGCTTTCTGCCAGAGATACGCCATAAAATAATTCAGCGGAGCTGAAAGCGCGGGCTTGCCATTTGTGCCATAAAAAATAAATACATTGTGTTTGTCTTGCCTTCTTACAGCTCTCCCTCTTTCTCTTAGCTAAATATTTCCTTTCTTCTGAGCATCAGACATTATTCCTAGCTTTCAGGCATGCAAAATAAAAGAGTGTGTGCACTTACATGTATTTATTTATGGTCCATGTGGGGTTGTGTTTGTGTATCCCTAGCTCTGCTCTGAAGATTTCCTTCACAAGCAGGAAAACAATTTTGTCCTGCAGGTCAGACAGAATAACTGATACCGCTGTTTACAGATCTCTGCTCACTGGAGAAGCTTATTAAGCCACAGCTGGGTAAGAAAAAGGCTGCTCACCCATAGCAAGGCGATAGAGATACGGGTAAGTGCTCGCGTGGATGCAGCACCAGGCACTGATGGGAAGGGCCCCGTGAGCACCAGGGAGTCAGTGGATGCCAGGAGGAGACGCTCGCCAAAGAAGCCGCTTGAATGACTTGTTATAAATTGTTCAGCCAATTGTTCTCAGACTGTTCTGCACTCAAAATGCTTGGGATCAGGCGTAGGTTGGGGTTTTTTAATATTTTTAAACAAATGTTTTTATTATTCATAAGAATTCATCAGATAGTGAGATTGAGTAAGATTTAGCCTGAGGTTTGTTCACAAAGCATCTCTTGCGAGCGCGTCCTTGCTGGCTCTGAAGCAGGGCAGCTTGAATTGGCAAGGATGAAAATAATATAGAAGTTTTGTGGGGATTTTAATAAAAAAACAGCAGATACTGAGCTGATGTATGTTATTAACTTGCTTCTCTGGGATTAGGTAGGTCTGGGTAAATGAGGAGGTATTGGTCCAGGTTTACTTTCCTTCAGTGTTGTCCTAGTGACAGGAGATTATGTGCCATTGGGGATTAGCCTGATGACATTACATTACCAGGGTAACGATTTACATGCTGATGTCATTCAAGACATTTGGTCAGGTCCAGAGTTTCTGGCATGAGCTGACATTTCTTCCCTGTTAGCATCCCAGGGCTGCCAAGCTGAGCAGTGCATTCCCAGGCATGCTCTCCTCTCCTTGGCAGGGAGTGGGTGATCCCTGCAGCCATTCCCTCCTCTCAGATGAGAGCACAGAGATAAGCTTTTTCATAGCTGGCACCAGCAAGCTATGGAAGCTAAGATACCAGGAGCATTCGAAGTTCCTCTATAGACAGATGAAATGGTTCAGTATGATGCTTTAAATAGCTCCTTTTTGGAGAGAAAGAGAGAAAGAGGGTCAGAAAGGCACATTGGCTGTAGCATTGATGTTGCGTAGTCATCACCAGCAATGGTACGAACAGCGGATGCGTTTTATACTTTCAAAGACATTACTGCCAATAACGTGCGTTAGGGAAAATGAAAGCTGATATGTTCTTGCAGCTTGGTAAGGGGGTGAAGGTGCCTATGTGATATGGGTGGATATAATTGGGGTCTGGGGGGAAATGCAGCAGAGCGGGCTCTGGAAAGCAGCCTGCGTCCCTGGTCCCCCTGCCACCTTTCCATGATGGGGCTGAGTCCTCGCAGCTGGGTTCCCTTCATGCAGTTGGGAGGGAGGTTGCAGGTGAAGTGATGGCCTGTGCTGGTGAAAGGAGCTGGAACAGCCGCAGCACCCACGAGCACTGTGAAGGAACAACTTCGTCAATCTGACATGGAGAGCAAATGTTGCTAATGAGGAGCCCAGGCTTTGGTAACCATGGCAATTTATGTTCCTGAAAATGTGAAACAAAGTCAGAGAAGGGGCAAATCCTGCTACCTTCTCTGCTCCTACGCAGTTTGCAATGCCGAGGAGTACCATATCCAGCAGCAGTGAGGGGTGCTGGAAGCTGGTGAACAGGAGAAGCTCAGAGCGGGAGGTCATCCCCTTTCCCACTGCTCGGAGCCCATCCTGCTCCTGAAATGCTGTCCTCCCACCGGCAGGCTGAGCCCCCTTCAGTCTAGTGTGGGGCAGAGTCTTTGGCCAGTGCCACTATTGGTTTGGCCACGAAGCCTCGGCATTCCCCTGCCGGGAAGAGGCAGCCTGCCGTCATGCAGGCTGAGGCACCGCTGGCTCGTGCTGCGTGATGGCGTCTGCCAAGTGACAACTCGCTGTTTGCTCCTCAGACTGTGTCTCCAGGGCCAGCTGGGCTCCCTGTAAGGTTTTACTGAAAACACAAACCGGCATGTGGAAGCCTACGGCACCGGGCTCACTCCTCCTCCAACAGGGAAAGAGCCCTGCCCTCCCTCAATGTTTCACAAACGTTGTCAAGATCAATGGAGAGAAAAATCCAGTATTTGGGTATCCTGGCCGCTGTTCCAGCTGCAGAACCATTGCGAGCTCTACAGATTTTCAGGGAACAAACACAAATGCCAGCCCACGCAATTTTCAGCCCTCCGTACAGATACAAGAGCTAAATTTCAATGCACTGAGCCTAAAGCAAAGCCAGGGCTTGGGCCAGAAGCATCTTTTCTCAGGACAAGACCAGCCTCAGTTCAGTGAGCACACACTCCTGGGTGCCTCCCTCGGTGTCAGGGCATCCCACATAGGTACCCTCAGAGGAACTTTATCTATTCTCCCTGGGCAGCCAAGCTGCACTGCTGCTAGACAAGGAGCAGGTATCGAGAAGTGTTTCAGTTGATGAGGCCTTAGGGAAATGCACTGGTGAGTTAAAGTCTCTACAGCGAGGAGAGGTTTTGCCTTAATTAAACTGCAGCGGGTCCACTGGTGCGGAAACCTGATGAGGTGTGGGGGGGATTATTTCCTGTGGGGAATGTGTCAGGATGCTGTGAAGCTGTCGGGTCAGTTGGAGATGTCTGTCTGAGGTGGCACTGAGCACTGGGGATGGCGGTGAGGAGCACAGGCAGAGCCACGTGCTGTCGAGGAGCTGCAGGCAGAGACTAGGGGTATGCCTCAGCAAGGGAACAAGGCTGTTAGACAAGGCAGGGAAATTAAAACAGCCAAATAGTAAAAAATAGTAAAGCGACGCAAGTGACAACCTACGCATGTTTGTAACTGGAGTGAAGCTTGGAGAGTGGATGCATTAGGATCCAAGAAAACAACCAAACCCCAAGGCTTTGACGCAGCCGAGGTTTCCAACGCGTGGCAGGATGCGTATCAGGCGCCTGCGCTGCTGCTGCTGCTGTGCCTGTGTGTTACCTGGATTCTTCAAAGGGACCAGGAGCAGGGAGAGGTTTGCACAATGCAGGGGTGTGCGCCGCTGCCTTCAGGGCCGAGGTATTCCCTCTCAAAGGACCCAAATGACAGCCCTCCCCAGGGCAGGCCTGGCTTGCAGGGAATTAGCTTTTTCCCTGTCTGCTCTAACCCCTTCCAGCATCACTGCTGGGTTTCTCTGCCCACCACCTTTTGGAGGATCAGGTCCGTATTTCCCCATCTCTCCTGCCCCTGTCTAGCCTCACTCATGTTTATAAGCTTCAGGAGACCTACTGTGGTGAAACAGCTTAGTTTTTAAAATTTTCCCCTTTTTGATGAAGTCAGGGTCTGGGAAGTCCCCCGGGACCGTCTCAAAGGAAGTGTTAGGTTTATGTGCAGAACAAGGCAAAAAAATAATAATCTCACTTTACTCTTTTTGGAGCAAGAATTGTTCTCTCTCCACTCGGCTCCCCTCCTTCCCCATGGCTGGGAGGAGAGGAAAAACACCCTGTTGCTGCTACCATGTGTTTCCAGAGCCTCCAGGTGTTGCTGTCTGTGGGCACGGCACATCCTCAGACCTGCAGATGCCCTAAGATCTTTCAGGAACTGGTTCTGTTAAGTCTCTGCAGGAGCTCCTGGGGCCCAGGAGAGGGTCTCACCCCATGTTTGGGGCTGCCATGCCCACTGGCTTGGCCTCTCCCATCAGCAGTTTGTGCCTAAGCTCCCCAGCACCACCTTCCCTGGTAACCAGGGCATGGCTGCTGCGGCCAGCAGGATGGCTTTGCCAGGAGGTCCCTCCTGTGATGCACTGTCTTTGCTGCCGTGTGATAGTATTATTGTTCCTGTATGTTTGGGTTTGGGGTTTTGGGGGCTTTTTTTAGAGGGGAGGGAAGATTATTTATGACTTGTTACGAATTCCCACCCTTTGGGTGTTGGGGGTGTCCTATATCAGCCACCAGCACCATCTGAAAAGGCAGGAATCTGGCAGTTTGTTCTGGGAGCTAAAGAGGGGATGGAGGAAGAGGAGAGGGGTCCAAGGTGAAGCACTGAAGAAGAGGAGAGATCAGGAAAAGACCTCAGTGGAGAGGAGGGAAGGTGGCAGGAAGGGAGGGAAAGGAGACCTGGCCTTTTCAATAGGGCTTTTAGAGACGAAAGCACCCAGGCTGGTTATGTGCTGTCCTGCTGCTTGGCCAGATTAGCAGCAATGCTTCCAAAAAAGCATAAGCAGAGCTGGGGTCTATGGGTGCCCAGCCAGAGACCAGGCACCGTGGGCAGCTGCACACCCTGTTTACACCTCAATATCTCCTCAAACATCTCAGTGATGCTGTAAAGGGGCATTTGCTGACATGTACCCCATGTGCCTGCTAGGACTGGGTGGCCATAGCAGTTCCTGGTGCTGCCTGGGTGCTCCTGGCCATGGAGGCTGGGGTCCCCACACACTGTGTGTGCAAGCCAGCTGCCTGCACCCCAGCCCAGTGCAGGGGTCCCAGCCCTGCCAAAAGCATTCGTTGCACTCTTGCTACCTGAGCACACATTTTGGCAAGCTGTGACTCAAGGAGCTGACAGCTCTCAAGTGCATTCCAAGGATGAATAAAAAGCGACAGAGCAGGTAGCGATTTCTGCAGTCAGCCGGAGTCTATGAGAAGACAGTCTCAAAACTGTCTCACTGTCTTAGTGGCCAGAGGACGCCTGTCACGGCCGCTTGACCTGCAGGCAGATGGTTACTGTCTGTCTAACACTGTCTTCTGGGGCTTGATAGGAACTTTTAAAATGCAGATAGACGGTGAGCCCTCTCTGTGGGAAGGAGGCAGCATTGGGCAGCTGGATGCCAGCATTAGGATGCGCAGGATGAGTTGTTGGGGAGCACAGTGTGTGTCTTTTATAGGGGGCAACATTTTACCCCCATCTGTGTTGTGCAAGCCTGAGATTGTCAGGGCAAGGGTTTGCGGAGCTGGATGGAAGAGCAGAAGCATGTCACAGGGCTGATGTCATCCGCCTGTGATGTCACTG